GATAATGGGACTGAATTACATAAACCCCTAAAGGTTTCTTCCAGCTCTAATTTTGCCAAAGCTTCCAATTCTAACTCTTTCAGTTTCCCTAGTGCTAACTGCCACCCTTTACCTCAAATAAAGGCTGACCCTCCTCTCCTCTGAATGGCAAGGGAGGAAAAATCACTGCTTTATCACTCCTCTTCTTGTGCAAACTCTGTGTGTACTGTCATCATTAAAAACCAGTAATGTCTACCCATGGCTGCTGTAAAAAACAGAACCCAATACTGTGACACTTCTCCTAAACTCTCAGAGCTACCACACTCCCAGCACTTCTGACACCTGATGGGGGGGGGCAGTTTCCACTCCACCAAGCACTTCTGTGACACAGCTGGTGTCAATTTAACTCAGTTCTGACACACTTTACTCAGAGATAGTGTCAGATCCCTCAAGTGAAGGGCCTGGTCCCGCAAGACTGCTCCCCGCCCACCCCCCACTTCAGGTGCCTGTGGCCAAGTCCAGGCTGTTCCCTGCCCACGGAATCCATAAGCTATTAACCAGGTTCCACCACTTCCTCCTCTGGTTGATAATTTGCTATAATGGCTCACAGAACTCAGGAAAACTATTTACTTACTGTTTCCTAGTTTATTGTAAAAAGATAATAAAGGATACAGGCAAGGTGTGTGGGAAGGGGCTGCCACTCTCCTAGCATCTCCGCAGGGTCAGCAACCCGGAAGCTCTCTCAACCTGGTACTTTGGGGATTTTTATGGAGGCTTCGCCACACGGGCATGAACAATCATTAACTTCATTTCCAACCCCTTCCCCCTCTCTGGAGAATGCAGGGTGGGGCTGACAATTCCAAGCCTATGATCTGGTCTTTCTGGTGAGCAGCCCCCATTCAGGAGCCCACCCAGGGTCACCTCACTAGAGCAAAAGACACTGCTATCACCAGGGAAATTCCAAGGGATTTAGGAACTCTGTGTCAGGAATAAGGGTCAAAGACTAAATATTAGAACAAAAGATGTTCCTAGTATTCCTATCACTTAGGAAATTACACAAGTTTTAGGAGCTCTGTGCCAAGAACCAGAAGCAGAAACATATATGCATACTTTTTCCCTATCATCTCATAGCTACAATGAAGAAAAAAAAAACAAAAGAAAATAACAATTGTTGGTAAGGATGTGTAGAAATTGGAAGCCTTGTGCACTGTTGATGGAAATGTAAAATGGTTTATTTAGCTGCTGTGGAAAACAGTGTGGCATTTCCTCAAAAAATTAAAAATAGAATTAGCATATGATCCAGCAATTCCACTTCTGGGTATACATCCAAGAGAACTGAAAGCAGAGTCCTGAAGCAATATTTGCGCACCCCTGTTCAAAGCAGCATTATGCACAATACCTAAACCCTGAAAGCAACCCAAGCGTCCGCTGAAATAAACAGCTAAGCAAAATGCGATATGTACATGCGATGGAATATAATTCAGTCTTAAAAAAGAATGAAATTCTCGGTTAAGCATCTGCCTTCAGCTCAGGTCAAGATCCCAGAGTCCTGGGATCAAATCCCACACTGGGCTCTCTGCTCAGCTGAAGTCGGCTTCTCCCTCTCTCTCTGTTCCTCCCACTTGTTCACGCCTGCGCATTTTTTTTTCCTCTCTCTCAAATAAATAAAATCTTTAAAAAAAAAAAAGGGAAGAAAATTTTGATACACACTGCTACATGGATGAATCAGGAGGACATCATACTACATGAAATAAACCAGACACAAAAAGAAAAATACAGTATGAATTCATTTATACTAGGTACTTATAGCAGTCAATTCATAGAGAAAGAAAGCAGAATGGTAGTTTGTCAAGGACTGAGAGGAGAGAATGGGGAGTTACTGTTTAATGGGTACAGTTTCAGTTTCGCAAGATGAAAGAGTTCTGGAAGTGGACGGTGGTGACAGTTGCACAACATGATGAATACGTTTAAGGTCACTGACCTGCACACTTACAAATGGTTAAGACAGTAAATTTTATGTCTGTTTTACCACTATAAGAAAAAAACTGGAGGAAAGAACCCAGAAAACAAAAACAGCAATGTTGGTTGTTTTATATACCCTTTTTTTTTAAAGATTTTATTTATTATTTATTTGACAGAGATCACAAGTAGGCAGAGGCAGGCAGAGAGAGGGGGAAGTAGGCTTCCCACTGAGCAGAGAGCCTGCTGCGGGGCTCGAACCCAGGACCCTGGGATCATGACCTGAGCCAAAAGCTGAGGCTTTAACCCACTGAGCCACCCAGGCGCCCCTTATATGCCCTTTCTACCACAGGATCTATTTACTCAAACTCTAAACCCAAATCCAACAAAGGGCAAGCACATATAATCTATACCTTCAAACACTGAAACTCTTGAGAGTGTGAAAGAATCCTAGAAGCTCCTAACCTCTCTCCTGTTTATTAAAAGACAAATGGTGGGATATGTGAGGAAATGAATGTATATCCCAGGTTTAAAAACTCTAAATTTAGGGCGCCTGGGTGGCTCAGTTGGTGAAGCGACTGCCTTCTGCTCAGGTCACAATCCGGGAGTCCCCGGATCAAGTCTGCGTGGGGCCCCCAGCTCCATGGGGAGTCTGTTTCTCCCTCTGACTTCTCCCCACTCATGCTCTCTCTCTCTTTCTCTCTCAAATAAATAAATAAAATCTTAAAAAAAAAAACTCTAAATTTTTATTTTAGTTAAAAGATGATACACACTTGCACACTTAACATCTTATGTGTATTTTCAGGGCATAATTGGAAACATTTCCCCTAGAAAGTAGGGGAAAATAAATATGGTTGGTGCTCTATCACTGTAATTGAAACAAAACCAACAAAGTATTTTAAAGATACTCTTGCTCCCATGAAGTTACCAAAAACCTTTCTTTTACTTAAGAAAACAAAACAAAAACCTAATAGATAATAGTCCTCATATTCATGTACAAAGCTATATCCCTAAAGTCTTTGTTTTAAAGATTTTTATTTATTATTTATTTGACAGACAGAGATCACAAGTAGGCAGAGAGGCAGGCAGAGAGAAAGGAAGGGAAGCAGGCTCACTGCCGAGCAGAGAGCCTGATACGGGGGGCTCGATCCCAAGACCCTGGGATCATGACCTGAGCCGAAGGCAGAGGCATAACCCACTGAGCCACCCAGGCGCCCCAAGTCTTTGTTTTAAAAACACTTGTGACAAAGAGTTTTCTAGAAGTGATAACTGGAGGCCTAACCATTTTTTCAGGCATTCCAGTAGACCAGTCTTCCAGATGCCACCACAGTGACTTGAGTGGAATTTTTCACTAAAATACACTAGAAAAAATCAGCCAGATGCTAGAGTCATACACATTTTAAAATTTCACTTTAGCAACTTGATATGTCTTCATCTTATTATTAGTTGGCAACCTCTAAAATAATATCGTACCTATAAATGCTAGACTATTAGAGATTATGGGAGAAATTTACTATTAAATCAGAACATAACTCCTATGTTAAATGAAAAGAGCTCCTGAACACAAAACACCTCTGAACACCTTTCTCTTAACTTCCTTTTCCCTATTAAAAAATCATAATCCACTCCTTCATCTGCAAAGTATTTTCTGACTCCCACCCATCAGGTTTTCCTGTTACATTCCTTATCACAGCAAATTTGTCTTATTAGCCATTTACGTTGCTAAAAACAACAACCCCTTACACAGCCAATAATGAGAGTGTTCTTACACTTCCTCTCTCACTCAATTATTTCTTTAAAAATGAAAATAAATCTTTGGAATCTGTGCGTTATGGTGCTTTCAACCTTACAACCCCAGGGGAGGTCAAGGCTCTTTCGTGTGTTTTCGCTCCAACTCTCACAGCCTTGCTATGTCAACATGACCCAGAGGAATGATTTTATTTTCTGTTTCACACCAAACAGTTAACAGGCCTATCTATCCCATCTACTGACTGGGGGGAGGAGGCTGCTACATATCTACATTAAAGACAAACTAAATCACAATAGTCACACTACTGCTGTTCCGAACAGCTGACTTTGGGGCAAAAAAAAAAAAAACAAAAACCCAAAACACACGTTTTCCTTAATATCTAAACGGAATTTATAACTATTAAAGTCAACTGCAAATCTTACAACACTGTTCCAGCAACATTGATCTCTTCATCTTTTTAACCAGCTCTTCTTTAAAAAACACATTTCAGGAGAATTTGTCAATCCAGAGAACTTGAAGGCTGTTCTTAATTACTGTCTTCAATTCAAACCTTTTCAAAATATTTCAGAACTCCCTGGACTTGGCTGGGATTCAGCCTTGGTTAACTGGTATGGAGACTCATCACAAGTCACCCCCCGGGTTCAGCAAGCCCCGTGGGTGACAGCACTCCCGCTCCCAGGGACCACCTAACTCAACCTGGAACCCGGGATGGGGTCTCACCACAGCCTGAGTGAGACCGTAAGGCTAGTGAGGCACCAGCCCGGGTTCACTGCCAGATGTGTGGTCCAGTGCCTTGCTTGCAGAAGGTCTAGGTATATGGTAGGAAGAGACCTGGGTGTTTATCCGTCTGGTATCACCGTCTAACTTTCTTGGCCTCCTGAGGACCCCGAGGATGGTTTTCCTGGGAGGGTTTCAGGACTCTAAGAGGAAGCAATCACCTCGAGGACATGAGGCGGGAGCCTCGAGAGAAAGAACCAAGAGCCCTCGAGTGGACCCTCCCCGAGGGCCGGCGCGTATTTCTGGCCAGATCGGCGAGAGGAAGGACTTGGAGCAGAGCCCAAACCTCCGGGGGACGACCTCCGACGCGGAGACACGAGGGAGCCCCCACGCCGCCCTTGAGCCTCCCGCTTGGGGCAGGCCCGGTCAGCGCCGGGACACCGCTGCCAGCACACCTGAGCCGAGCCCGGCGCCCGACCCCGCGGACGGTCACCGCGACCTCGCCCCGCCCCACCGCCCCCTCTGCCGGCTCCGCACGGACGCAGCTCGCGGGGTCCCAGCCCGCCACCTCCGGCTCAGCCCGGCCCCACCATACCTGGCCGGCGGCGGCTGCGGCGGCAGCGGCGCTGCTCCTGACGTACCCATTCCGCACTTCCCCGTTCGCCACGCAGCCGTTCGCCCGCAGCGGGCGGCGGCAGCAGCAGCCTCCGGGTTCCGGCCGCATCCTCCCGGCAGCACCAGGCGCAAGGCAGGCTCTGTAGGCGGCGGCCCAGGCGGCGGCCGCTCCAGTCCCGCTCCGCACCCCACCCACCTCCCCGAAACCGGAAATGGCTGCACGCCGCCGCCAATTACCGGCCCGGCCGTCACAGGGGGCGGGGCCCGCTCCCGCGGACGCGGGGGCTCGCCCGAGGCCCGGCGGCCCAGGGGAAATGGGGCGGGGCCGGACAGGAGGGACCGGAGCCTGGGGACTGCTGGCCAATCTGGAGGAGGGGAGGCGGACCCCACGCTGCAGTCGGGCCAGTCACGGGCGACAGCAAAGGCGGCTCGCTGGTGTCGAGGAGGGGGTCTGGGGAGGGGTCGGCGGCTCCTCCGTCCACGCAGAGGAGGCGGGGCCCAGGAAGAAGTTGGCCAATTAGAATGTGAGAAGAGGAAGGGGGCTGAGCCCTGGTGTCCAGAACGAGTTGCTGGGTTCCCCTGCGCAGGTGGCGCCCTCTCTGCCCTTGCCTCTGGGGAAGTTCTGGGATGGGAATTCTAGGCGGTGACAGGGCTCCTTTATTTAATCAAGGAATTCCTATGTGGGTATCTATAGAATAGCATTTTTAGCATTCTCTCAACGTTCTTCAGTACGCTGCGCACATCAGCACATTTCTTAATTCGGATGCCTCTTTGCCCTTCACATCTGTCCCTAATCAGTGTTTTCTGTACAATTTCCTTTAAAGAGTACTTCCTTGAGAGTCAGGAAACCTGGTCTCATTCCAACTCTGCCAATAACTGAAAGCCGTACCTCCGGTATTTAGCCACGTTGGGAGCCAAATTCTCTAAAATAGATTTAATACTTTCTGTTTCATAGGCTCACCTATCATGATGCCTGGCCCATAGTAAGAGCATAATAAATAATAATAAATAAATAATAAAGCATAATAATAAACTGCACCCCTCGAGTTCTATCTTCCCATAGGGGTTAGAAAGGAACTGGGTCTACATCATAACAAGAGACTTTCGGTTACCTACAAAAATTTAGTGTCGTAGTTAAGAGTATTGATTCTGGAGGTGCTCTGGTTTTGAATCCTGGCTGTGCCACTTATTAGCTGAGTGAGCACTATGTCTTCCATCTGTTCAGTGGAAATAATAATAATTGTCCTGAGGATTTGCCTTAATACAGAGTATTTTGTATGAGACCTGGCCACTGGGGGCGCCTGGGTGGCTCAGTTGTTAAGCTTCTGCCTTCAGCTCAGGTCATCATCCCAGAGTCCCAGGAACACGCCACGCATGGGGGCTCCCTGCTCCACGGGGGGCTTGTTCTCCCTCTCCCTTCACCCTGCTTGTGTTCCTGCTTGTGTTCCTGCTTTCTCCCTGTATCTCTCTCTGTCAAAAAAAATTAATAAAATCTAAAAACAACAACAACAACTGGCCGTTAGTAAAAATTCATTAAGTGTTGGTTATTTTTTTTTAAAGATTTATTTCTTTTAGAGAAAGAAAGAGAAAGTGTGAGGGGGGAAAGGCAGAGAGAGAGAGAATCCTCAAGCAGACTCCCCACTGAGCATGGAGCTCTACTTGGGGCTCAATCCCAGGACCCTGAGATCATGACCTAAGCCCAAATCAAAAATCAGATGCTCAACCGACTGGGCCACTCAGGCACCCCAAGTGTTGGTTGTTTTTAATTGCTGAATGGGCATATAAGATCCCCTGCTTTCTTCCCCCTACCCCATCTTTAGGAAAGGGATCGACAAGCTATCAGCTTTTCGTGGTTTAGGAGCTAAACAATCTCACAGCAAGTGGACAGAGCAGACACCTTCTTTGAGTCAATAAACATTATGATCCCAAAGAACATAAATTTGTGATAGAAGCGTGAGGCTTAAAGAAAAATGTGTGGCTTGCTCCTCATGGCTCTTGCATTCTAGTGAGAGAAAAGACGGCCAAGTGTTAACACAAACAGCAACAAAAGGTCTACAGAAGGCCGGAGTTCTCATGAGGATGGCTGGACTGCAGTGACAGGTCTAGACTTTCCATGCAGACAGTTTTTCAGGGTAGGAATCTGTTGGAAGCAGGGCTAAGGGACTTAACGGAAGCTCAGATAGAAGCTGAATGAATTTAGAAAAGACCTGGGAAGATGTTGTAGGATGACCTTAATCTTCAAGGATGAGCAGTATTTGGAGAACTGAGAATGAAAAGTAAGGGGAAGGTGTTCCCAGGAGAGGCAACCTTCCTCAGGTCAGGTACAGAAGCTGAAAAGAGCAAAGCCTTCAACTGGAGCCTAAGAGTGAGGACCAGCAGCTAGATTAGAGGAATTAGAGAGCCAGTCCCTCTCTCCGGAGGGCGGGACACAGGTCCTTGTCTTATTCTGCCACTTACTCACTATGTGTGGTCTTGGATGAGTCATGCGACGTCAGCCTTGGTCTCCTCACCCGTCTTACAAAATTAATACCTGTACTACTTACCTCACAGGGCTTTTGTGACCATCAATGATATAATCCACACATGATCTGATAACCTTGCACAGCATTGCTAAATCACAAAAAGGATGCCGCAGAAGGCAGTAGGCAACACCCCAGGCTCCCTGCAAACAGGGATAAGACGGATTCCAGACGGATAAGCCACCTCACCACCATTTTACTGAGTTCATATGCAAAGTTCTGGGCTAGGCACCAGGGTTACAAGTCTTCCTTCAAGATTGCTCAAACCATTCCAACTGTAAAACCTTTCTTGAACTCCAACCTCCTCACAAAATTAGTCTCTTTCTTCACTGTGAACTTTTATATACACCTGTGTAAGCAAGAATGTGTCACATTATTTAGGGATTTTTTTTTTTTTTTGAGAGTGAGATTATAGGGTGGTTCAAAACAAGAGCTCCATGGTCACACAGAATTGGAGACCCAGCTCTAGCACTTAAAAGCCTTGTGACTTTGGCAAAGCTACGTGACTTCCCTGTGACTCAGTTCCCTCGTCTGTAAAATGAAACATACCTTAAAGAGTTGTTGTGAGAATGAAAAAAGAAAAGTATTTAGTCCCAGGGCCTGGCACATAATAGTTAATAAGTGCTGGTAATCATTTGTTGACTAAATGAATTATTTGCCAAATGAGGGAAGGAATGAATACATTTATACCCCTGACTAGACAGAGAGCAAGCTCCTTGAGGTCAGGGGATTGTCTAATTCATGTTTGGGGTCCTAGCACCTAGCACAGTGCCTGGCACATAGTAAATACTCAATAAATCTCTGATGAGTAATACATGGACAAATGAATGAAAATCTGGCCCTGCCTCCAAGGAGCCTTCTATCATATGGTGACTGTGTTAAGATTCTTGTGATTGCAGCTAACATAGGTCAATATTAGAAAACTTCATCAAGAAAGGTAAAATAATTGCGATGCTCCTCAAGATAGGGAAGTGTGGGGACTAAAAAATCCCAAAGCTTGGCAAGAGAAAATTATAGGCCTTCCTCATAAAACCAACCCACTTGTGAGGCTTAGCTCTCAGCCATCTACTACTTTTGCATTCCCTAGGTCAAATCTATAAATTCCCACGAAAGAGAGATCTGATTGGCCCAGCTTAAGGTGAGACATCTAATGTTCACCCGGCCCATGGTGGTCAAAGCACAAGGTCAAGCTGCTGGAGATGAGGAATCAGTTACAGAGAAGGAGGAATTGCTGCAAAGAAGAAAGGACAGCCCCATCATCGTCCGCTACAAAGAACTAGGACCTGGGAATGAAAAGAATAAATAACAATCACTTGGAAGGAGTGTTGAAGGAGGAGTCTGCCAATATAGCATTTTTAAAAAACCTTTTTAAAGTAAACCCTATGGCCAATGTGGGGCTTGAACTCACAACCCTGAGATCAAGAGTTGCCTGCTTTACCGACTAAGCCAGCCAGGCACCGCCAGTATAGCATTTTTAAAGGGCCAAGCAAGACTGCCTAGGAAGAGAAATGAAGTGAGAGAAAGCAGGCTATTTAGCCAGAGGAGCAGGCAGCTTGCACCATCAGGGGTCTTGGTTGCCCATATACAAGTTAACACTGGCTGACCGACACAAAAGGTGACTCATTGGAAGGTTATTAGGAGCTCAGTGAGATGGTTGAAGGCTGAGGCCTGGGCTTAGAAAAAGTCCCAAGTAAGAGGATCTTCAGAGGGCTGGGCGGCAGGGGACTCAAGAAGGTTTATGGCAGAAACTGTCTGATAAGTATACAACCACCCAAAGAAATGACCTCCAACCACTTCTACCATCTTGGGTCACTTGTCCAAGAGTTAAAGTCTCAGGAGAGAGCATCTGCTAGGCTGAGTTCAGGTCACATGGATCCATATGGGGAGGGGCTGAAGGGGGGCAAACAGAAGGATAAAGTTCCTTTACTTTCATGGTAAGAGTTGCTTTCCAAAATTCACCCTCCCAAAAAAAGGGTGCAAAATGAAGAGAGGTGATTTCCCAAAAGTAAAAAGTAAATTGGGAACCTCATAGAAAAAGGGAGTAGACACTAGGTGGGCAGAAATTTTGAACATCAGTTAAGACTGCAGAAGATTCATAAGGGGGAAAGGGCCCCTTAAAGGTACTCTGTTTCATGGGACACCTGGGTGGCTCAGTCCAGTTACGCTGCTGCCTTCGGCTCAGGTCATGATCCCAGGGTCCTGGGATCGAGGCCCGCATTAGGCTCCTTGCTCAGCGGGGAGCCTGCTTCTCTCTCTGCCTCTGCCTGCCACTCTGCCTGCTTGTGTGCGCGCTCTCTCTCTCTCTCTCTGACAAATAAATAAATAGATAAAATCTTAAAAAAAAATAAAGGTACTCTGTTTCAGTACAAAAACTAGGGTTGGATAACAGAAGTAATTATCTGATCCTGGCCCTGAGATCATCACTTGGTCTTTCCTTTCCAAACATTTTTTTTTAAAAGATTTTATTTATTTATTTGAGAGAGAGAGAAAGCACAAGCAGGATGGAAGGGTAGAGGGAGAAGCAGACTCCCCACTGAGCCTGACATGGGGCTCAATCCCCGGACCTTGGGATCATGACCTGAGTTGAAGGCAGACACCCTACTAAATAAACCACCCAGGCACCCTCCTTTCCAAACTTTTCATGCTTGTTCATTCATTTTTGTATTTGGCCAATT